TGAGATAGCGTCCAAATTCGAAACAATTATGTTATGAATTTAAAATTACAATAAATTGTAAACGTGCATATAATATCATTCTGTGGTAAAATTCCTTTTCTTTTACTATCATGTTAATGAGAAGATTTTATAAAACCTTAGACAACAATACTTTTCAAGAATAATATCAGAAGTATTCAACCTCATTTGAAAAACGTTTGACAATCTGTCGTGAATCAACTTGAACTAACTCCACGAGTCCATTCGATTTCGATACTCAGATGGGCTTCTGTATCCATGACACGACGTTAATGACCAACCACAACCACCAAGTGACCTTAAGCATCACTGACGTGACCTCAACAGTCACCTATGTGATCTGATCGCGTGACAAGATTCTGATGATCTCTATATAATGACGAATGACTGGGTGTTAAGAACATGACGTCAATGATTCCTGCGCGACCTAGAAATCTTTATGATCTTCACGAGTCTAGTGTAAATCTTCAAAGTAATTTGATTGTCAATGTCATGACTCTGATAACTCTTTTGTTTCAAATACCAGTGAGCTGATTTTCCTAACATAGGTACAGTGTGAAGTGCACGAAAGAAAATTTGGAAAGTAAAAAGTCGAGATCTCGATTTCGCGTGTAATATTTAAGAAACTGAACGAATTACTAGACTGCGAGTTTTTACGCGTCTATAGGAAATTTTACGAAATTGCATAATACACGTAATATAAAAGAATACATAAAATATTCAAAGTACAGCGCTTTTTGCAACGCTTGTCTACTATATGAAACAATTTACTACTTTTTCGCTAAAACGAATATGCACAAAAATCCATGCATGCACAAGTACTTTCAAGCTCATCCCTAGCAGAAAGAAGCATCATAATTTTGTAGAAAAAAATTTGGCAAGTTGACCCAACTCCGTGTATCACCACTAGCTTCCGCGTTTCCGAGGAAACATATTTTAAGACGAATAATCGTGTCTTTGGGTTTTCGAACGTTGCGTAGAAATCGCGGTTACTCCGTGCAACTTTCGAATATTCCTTTTCTCGCACGAGTCTTGACGTTCACGTTGAATCTACCATGAAAGATTCCGGCCACGTTTTACAGCTTCAGTTCTACGCTGGTTCTTTCACCCTCACCCCATCCTTCTCTTTTTTTTCCCCCTTGCGTCTGAAATTCCGAAAGTCCTGGCCGAGCTGCCTTTTCATTTAGAATTTAATGTTTCAAATGTCCCCCTCCTCTCTCCCTCTCGGTCTCGGTTTTAGCCACCGATTCCCGCAAACCCTTCGCGGGAAACGAGGTCGCAGTATAAAAGATATTGTAGTAGAACAAAAGGGAGGGGGAAAGACGTGAGGTAAGAGGCAGGACTGGAGAGAGTCGTTGAGAAAGTTTTTATCGGGCGAGCGAATGGACGTTCTCTCTCTCTCTCTCTCTCTCTCTCTCTCTCTCTCTCTCGATCGATTTTACCGTTCGATGAAGTGCTACCCTTTTCTGCTCCATTCTTCGTACCATCTTCGTCGGTTCTGTGTCCTTTTAACGGTGGTGAATCCATCTGGCATTTCATCCTTTACCTCGTTCCGGGCATTTCGTTCGCTCGGGGAATTTATATCTCCTTCTCCCGCTTTGTTCCTTTGCTCCTCGTTAACTTTTCGAAAAATCGCGTAACTTTATGGAGATACCGTTGCCGCGCGACGTTTTGCGATTTTGCGAAACAGTTGAGATTCCATTGCGCGAGGCGATAACAGGAGAAAATTTGGAAACGTGAAACGCCGGCGTTCGCGCAGAAATTTCAGAACAGTATAGATATTGAAATTCGTTCCTCGAACTTGATTCTAATGTTAATTAATTTTCTTCTTTGTCTTGCTTGATCCGGCAGACTAAAATTTATATTTTATAGGAATAGAATTTCATTCTCTGAACGTTATAAAAGGGATGCTTTGCCTATTTCAAATTTCCCATAAATACTCGTAATAAGTTAGGAGTTAAAATTATGGAGTTTTATATCTTTATAGACGCAAATAATTTCAACAAAAATTTCTCCCTTTCTCTATCACAAAATGTATTTTATTTTCGATATTTTACACATTATATACAATTCCTGCGCTTTTGTTATCCTCAAATTCCCCCATAAAAGAAAAAGAAAATACTGAAGAGCAAGAAACCCAGCCCGAAACACCGAAAGTCCCCAACAGAAGATTCAAATACTCGAAATCTGCTGGTATTCGAAACTTTTTGACTCCGTTCTGCTAATTAATCTTCCGTCCGCAACATCCAATTTCTATCTCGTCTACACGGTTAATCGCATAATCTATAACTAACCGCAATACACAGGTGGATCTATAATTTAGATATACAGCCTCGAAGACGTAGTGGGAACATCGGAATTCAAATTGGCGACACTTGGACGGTTAATTAGTTGGCCGAAGACAGAGCGAGACGCGAACGAGAGAGGATTGTATAATTATATCGGCCTCCGAGTCGCGCGACGCGTGGAAATAGGCGTTCGAATACGAACCAGATTCGAAATCGATACGACGATAATTGGCCGGCGCGTGTCTGATAGAATTGTCAGTGCAGCGCGCGATGTACACAGAAATTTAGGTTGCCCGGTCATAATAGCCTGACACGCGCTTACCAGCCACGCTGAATGAATCGCGGCAACGGCTGCTATCGCGATAAAGATATACCAATAATCGTACCTTTTATTTACACGAAATGGCTCGTCCTCGGCGATGCCGCGCTGCAAAATGATTCTCCGATACTGTTACGACCCGGTCGTAACGCGAATTTTAAGATATCACTATCACTTCGTTTCGCCATCTTGCTAACAAACGAAATGTCATACGTTGAATGACATTAGCTACGGAGGAAGAAACAAGCAACCATACAGAAGTTTTCGAGTAGACGAGCCTTTTTTGATTGGCCCTGGAGAAATTAGTTTTGCAGCGTTTTGAAGAAATTGATTTAATTCGTAATTTGACTGGCGATAAATGTTCTGGTATATTATACGCAGTTTTGTACTTTTGAATTTTCTTAAATGCGTGAAAGTTTATTAGTAATGTTATATTATATATTAATGAATCAACAGATTATAATAAATTTGTATGGGACAGATTTCTATAATTCCACAATTGTATTCTAATCTTAAATAACGAGAACCTATTTAAAGAAAAAAAAATTAAACAATGAACGTAAACGACTTTTGGAAAAAGTTAAATTTTCTTAACTGTTATCAAGATCAAATAACGCTTATTTCTGCAATTCTTAATTTGACTGAACTTTCTCAATAATCTCAATCACAGAGACTGTGAAATGCAAAATAAAATTGAATGATTATCCTCATCTCGTGCGAATGAAATATCCTCATCTCACAAACCAGCCATAAGCAAAAAAAAAAAAAAAAACGATTTCAAAGAGAATGTAATAAAGATTGAAAAAGAAATATGCTGGAAGACGAATATAAAAAACAAATTCTTCGCCTGACAATCGAGGGAAAAATCATTCATCACCAGCCTCGTTTCCCTTCGCATCGTCGACGTCGCTTGGTACTTTCATTCGACGTCGTAAAGCTAGCTTAACATGTCACTTGGCCCGATATAAGGCCCGGCTAGGACGCGCCGAATGAATTGTAGCCTGATCCAACATCAATATTGATTAAGTACACAACGAAGGAAAAGTGTAACTTAGCCCTCGGTGCAACAGCCCAGTCAGCCGATACCTGACACATAACGCTCGGATTAAATCTGGAGTGTCTTTGGCTGTAACTGATGAGACTGGCTCAAGGAAATCGCGCGGAACATTACTTCTCCGACTGAAGGAAGCCCCCTAATACTCTTCGATCAAAGTCCAGATAAAAGAAGGAGCTTTACCTTCGGAAAATACAGAGGGGCAGAACATTGACAAGCTATTGTTATTCTTTTACATCTCGGATTCCCCTTAAGCTCGAGAAACTGCTTATTTCCAAACGTTAAACTTTAAAATGCAATACTCCTCCCTTGATATTCGTTGAATATGACTCGCGAAATTGCTCGTCGATGAAAGGATCGCGTAAATTTCGAGTATGTAAAACGAATTATTACGAATAATATAATGTAGATATAAAAAATACAGTTGAATCACTTTGTGCAAAAAAAAAAAGTTAAATTAATCTTCAGTTTCCTGACGATCAACCATCTAGTTCCATCATTCTAGGATTGTGAAAATTATTAATAGTTTGCTCTATTTTAGAAATTATCTAGACTAGAGAGAATGTTCTGAATCTGTTCCAAATAATAAATTTCTATTTTCGCAATACTTTTCTTTATACAGAAAAACAAATTCCCCCTGACACAAACCGGAAGTATACATATTTCTAACGTAAAATACTGTCGTTCGTATAACTTGAAAATAAATCTCGTTCGCAGACTTCCGATCCTGTAAACATCCTATAAATATTACAAAATATTTCATGACATCCTGTATCTCAAAGTATTTTAAAATATTTCTTAATATCCTGTGTATGACAGACGTTACATATAGAGTAAGAACACGTAACAATTTCTCTAGGAACGATGTACAGGATGTTTCCGAAACTACAATACAGCCGGCCGATTCTACATGTATGTACGTAAATATTTCTTCGCGAGATATGCCTTTTAACACATACATACGTAAAGTGAAAACAGAGAGATGGAACGAACGAACAACAGCTGACCGACAGACAGACACTATTTACAGAACTATTCCGTACAGTGATGTACAGTGTTGTTGGACCAACGGAGCGCGGGATGAGAATCTGGCGACTCCGCAAAGAGCGCATATATTTTCAACAATTTCGTAGCTCGATATATACATTACGAGCAAACTCGTTATTTGCAGGCAATGAAAACTTTCGTGCACTGCCGATAAATTCGCGGCGGTTTCTCTCACAATGAAATCTCAGTCGCGGGTGCTCTTTGTCCGAACGCAACGATCCCCGTGGCCGTGCTGGTTCGCCATGAGTAACGGGCCCGTTTCACTTTGTTGCAGCGTCAACATACTTCACGCCGAGGGTCGTGTCGAGCAGATAGTGAAAGGACATTTAATTCCCCCACGTCGCGGCGAAGGACAGCGCCCGGCATAGCGAGAGGGAAATCCACGGATTATTTCTCGTGCTCTGGCTGCACGTCTAGCAGCACGGGATGGACACTTAGAGAGCTTTATGAATCGTGCGCGACGCCGGTAAGTGAAGCGTTTATTTCTCCCTTAATCGCTCCGTTTGTCTCCGGTGATAAACCGCCGTAGCCTTGTCGTTCCCCCCCCCCCCCCGCAAGCTCTCGCATCGCTCCCAGACAAGTGTCCATTTATCCCGAGGAAACCGAAACCAAGTCGAGCAGCAAATTTTCCCTCGCTGAGCCTCAACTTGTCCTCGTCCCCCGTATGATTTTTCGACCCCCCCCCCCCTCCTATTTCTTCGACCGCAGTGGAAAATTGCGTCCTCCGCGCGGATCCTCGAGACGAATCGTTTCGGGAGCATTTAGGAAAGAAGAGAACGAAGAAGTTGAATTACGAGATGATTCTCTTGTTTTAAATATACTTGTCTTCCGAGGTACAATGATTACATAATTATTATATGGCTGTGATTTTCAATCATCAATCGACCATTCTTGACATTTATTCGTGCTTTGAAAGCATTTGCCTTTACTAACAATAAGAAAGTACTAAATGTGAGGTAATACAGTCATTTGACATTGTCTGACGACATTCAAAATGTTCTTTTCTTTTTAAATTAGTTTTAAATTGTCAAGAACAATATCAAAAGAAAACTTCAGCGCACCTTAAGTTTCAAGAGAAACTCAGAGATCTAATTAATAAAATTTGAAGAAATATTTATAGCGTTGCACAATACTGGTTTTCATCAAAGCATAAAATCTTTTCTTTATATTCCTTTCATTTTTTTTTCTTTTTTTACCATGATAAAAGTTACTTTATTTGCATTTTAATGGATCAATCGAGAGATACGAATGAATTATACTGAAAACTCGAACTCAAGGATTTTTCAACTTTGTTACTCATGGGAGGAGTTGAGGCCAAAGTAATCGAGCTAGAAAAATTTTCGAGCGAGGAAAAGTTTCAACTTCGTCGAGAGAAAGAGAGAGAGAGAGAGAGAAAGAGAACAGATACAACCGGACCGTGATTTCAGATTTCCTCGAAAAATTCTATGGTAACCTGTTGCTCGTATGGAGCGTACGTGTTCTGTTCCGCGTCTCAAATGAGATGTATCGCCGCTACGTTATTCCAAGTATCTACAATAAATTTCCACGAATTTTCCATTGTCCTAACACCTCAGAAACTTCACCTTAAGAAATCGATTAATACCAGGAAATTCGTTCGCTTACATATTTCGTAACGTATTTCGATTTCCTGCCCGATTAATCGAACTTCGTTTCGACGCAGATTTTGATGAAGCAACCAGCCGTCGTAATTAAATTGCGCGAATTGAATCGGACTCTGCCGAGATTGTTCGCGCGCGAATTTCCACGAGGGCCGAAACAAATGGTTTCTGATACACTTCTCGCCTTCGCGATCGTAGATAATCGGAGGGGGCGAGAGTAGAAGGGTACGGGATAAGTCAGCCGCGGGCGCAAACTGCAACAACTGTTAACTGCATCGACTGTAAACTTTGCCAGCAGTAAAACGCATAAATAATGGAAACTTCGTGCCGCGCAGAGATAATAGAGAACGGGTTAAATGTGTTTCCACGTAGCCAGTGTGACAATAGATAACTGTACAACGGTGTAAGTGGAAATGTATAGCATAAGTCAGACATGCAGTCGCCCTGAAGCGGTACAAACTACTTGAACCATTAACTGTACTCCTTATGACAAGTATTTGCGCTTTATCAGCAATAATAATAACGGCGTTTCGTTAATTTTCCAACTGTAAAACAGGTAATGGACATTTTTAAATTTTACGCGAGTTCGATTCATTACAATTTAATACAATTTCATTCAGAATAATAATCAAATGAAAACGTAATACAACGCACACGTGCATTTTAGATGTTACTATTTACTAATTTACAGTGTGTTTTTAAATTATATATTAGGTTCGATGTAATTCATAATACTAAGATAATAATAATATATCATTGTATAGTATACCAATATAGCAATAATATGATAATATCTTTCCTGTGTCGTAAAAGAAGAAGCAACGGCAGCTTCTTTTTAGTTGCTCAATATTTTCAAAACTACGAATTTTCGTTAAAAAACAGAATCCACGCAAATTCTATTTATTATACGTACGTCGCCTTTCAATTTATCACTTTCCACATCGTCGATGATGATAATCAGAAAGAAAACGCAGGAGGTGGAGGGGGAAAGGAATGCATAACCGGATTATCGATAACGAATACAGGGCTTGGTGGAAGTGGCGAGAGAGATACGATAAGGAAAGTTTCTAAGGGGTGGTTTTACGTTACTTCATAAAGCGGCCCGAGTGTTTCTCCACTTTTCAGTTAAAGGCATGAAAGCCAAAGAGGGAAGGGGCGGTGGCTGAATACCCCCGTAAATGAAGGATTATTCTTCGTGCTTGATAAACCAGCGAGAAGGCCCCGGCAATAGAAACTCGGTCGCGTTTATTAAAACAAAGTTAAATCCCGTAAGAATAGCCTAGCGAGGAGAATCGAAAACAAGCGGATAGTAAATTTGCGTTATCTCTTCACCTCCTTGAAAATCCCCTCGCCCGTCCCGGGGACGGATTCTTCCATTAATCGGCAGGGGAGAGACGCGGACAGGAAATTACGTCTGTAATATTACCTGTTACGAGCTATTGGCCCTTATTCCGGTCTCAATGATAACATTGTACGGCCTCGAATGCCATTCGTCGCAAGAAATATGGTAGGTCTTTCGGGAATAAAGCATCTTCGTCATTTTCGGTCTCCGACTCGGTCGCGTCAGTGGTTCTCAAATTATCTTCAGATTTTCAATTTTGCACGTTCATTTAAAAATGCAATAATGCAGAAGATATGCAAATAACATCTACAATAAATTCTTATGTAAAATATCCAAGATGTCCTACTCGTTACAATATTTAATAATTAGTAATCAAAGCGTGAAATGTTACATTAAGTTCAGATTAGGATTACTTTACACGCTTGCAAAGATCGGTTATTTCATGCGTAATAATCTAACGTATTTTTTATCAAAAAAGATACCAGACTTAATAAAAGATACTGTTTGCCAACGTTCAATTTACAATGATATATTGTACGAATACATTTTAATGTTTAAGCTAAAAAATGTACGGATCATCGGTTAGAAGATAACAAGCGGGTTGAGCCACTCATTACAGCAGCTTTATTAGTTCAGGGTGAATGAAGTAAATCGAAGAAAAAAGAAAGCGAGAAGAGCCGTTGGTGTAATCTAATTTGCTGATGCGACAAGAAGAGGGGTCTGAATTGCCGGGAGCGGAGGTAAAAAGCGGCGCCGATCGATTCCACGCGGGAAAATTGGAAATACCTTGGTCCAATCTCGAATCAAACCGTTCTACGGTGAATCAAGATAAGGGGGATCGCTCCTTACTCGACTCGGAAGCATTTGAGATTGTTCGAAGGATCTCTTAAAATTTCTCACAGTGTCGCCACAAATTCATCGACTTTACCTGCTCGGTGAAGACGTGGGCAATCTTTTCGAACCTCGTAGATTTTCTGTTACGAGCGAGTAAATGCACTCCTGAAGATATATTCGGTGCATTTATTAAATGGAAGGCATTTAATAAATAATCCCTATTTGGAAAAGTTATCACTGACTTTGAATATATTTGAAAACTATCAGTAGACTGTGAGTGCTTAAAAGTTTGGAAACTTGTTCAAGTTTCAAAAGAAATAACAATCTCCTTAAATACAAGTAAATATAAATATTTTATTTGTGATATTGATGGAAAATGGTGCTCCAAACTTCTAATCAGCTTTATATTTCTACAAATACTAATATAGCCTGAACGGAAACTCGTCTCACATAACGAATGTATGTAAAATTTAAAGCTTCTTAATTCTAATCTTGAAAAATGAACGAAGCCCTCTTCTAAATCTCTCTCTTATGTATTCAACGAAAAAAAAGAGAGAGAGAGAGAGAGAGAAATCAAAGATTCGCACTTCAGTATTTCACAGCGGCGTGAGGGGAAACTGGGACGAAAATACGAAAGGAAAATACGAGGATATTGTTAGAAGATTTTCTTTATGCCCGTATCTCTGATAGAAGATTCGAGGCAATGCGTGGATCTGAAAGATTCGCGATAGCATGTATGATATATTAATATTTAATAATCGGAAAGAAGAAAAGCTCAGCGAGATACGTTTCACGGCGCATGCATATTGAACGTGCAAAGACGCGAACTATAGGGTAGGAGATGTACAAATAGCTGGTACGTGATAGTAAAGCTGAAAATATGAACCTTTTACTTTCGTAGCATGGCAACCAGATCGAAATATACGCGATTGAATAACTCATACATTTTGTCTTCGAGGAGAATCGGTTTTGTACATGCACGCGTATCACACTGAAAAATCTCCTTATTTAGGGGAAATTCTAGCGAAAAGAAATATTTGCATGTACAGTGATTCACGAAAGTTTTCAAACTTCTTACCCCGCGGAAAATGTTTATGAATATGCAATTTTATGTATGTCATTCTCTTCGAAATTGCATTAGCATTGCAACGAGACGTTGCTGTAGTGACTACATTCGTAAAATTTAAAAGGAATCTGAAGATGTATATTTCAAATATACGTTTGAATAAAAATTAACAAATAACGTGAATGATCACCTCAAATATATAATTTAATACGATCTAATTAAATATTGTGACTGTATGTGGCAATAAAACTTCTATACACTTTCAAATTTGTTTTAAATAGTTTACAGTTATGGTTGGATTATAAATGTGAAATAAACGAATAACATTTACGCAAGTATGCTCGAAAAATATGCAAAACGCGGTGCATTATGTAAAATATAAAATTTCCATAATCTTCTGATCACATGACAAAATTTTTATCTAAAAAATTCCGTATAAAACACTTTTAAATATTTTCACGAAATACTTACTATCGTAATACTTTTTTCAAATTTCTCATAATCAGTGACTGATTCACTGCAAACGATTATTTGCGTCGATAAACTGGAAAAATTTCAGATCTCAACATTCTTCCCCCTTTTTTTTCTGCAGACGCAATTAATTA